TTATACTTGAAACTAGTGCATGAAACTAGTGCAAACTTGTTTCCATTACCGTTCAAATGGGTACATCCATCGAAATTGTACTGGCCCACCAATTCGCGCCTCGAAAGGAAGATGGATTACTAGGTGCTCCATACAATCAAAAAATGACGGCGGAAAGATTCTTTCTAACTTACATATTATTTCAACTATCTTCGTTTCCCAAACTGCCATGTCTTTTATGTTGATATTTGGGGAACATAGTGCACGGAAGAAATTACTTACTTCTGTTAATGGACCCCATATAGAACCCGGTAACAAGCCACGGAAAGCAATTGGAATGAGGCGCTGCATGAATATGTGGCAATTGTGGCAATTGTGGCAATTGTGACTCTTCAATCCAACTAAGCGTAGCTCAACTAAGTATACTAGACCCTCATTTTATGCGCAGATGTTGCTTTGAGAAAAATGGATTGAAAACCTCGTGGTGTTGCTTAGCATTGGCAGAAGTAATCAGACAATTTAGGTTGAGAAATAGGCATTACCTGACCAACTGAATGGTTCTGCTGCTTATTCTTGGATTTTGTATTGAACTTCATGTTGGAAATGCTTTACCTTTTTTCATTATCGTTGAAACTTTTTGATGCTTCAATTATCCTTATTTTTTGGCACCTTGGATTTTATTGTTTAATCTTTTGTTTAGTATATCATATCGTTAACTATTTAGCATCATAGAACTTTTGAACCTTGACCCTAAATAAGGTTTTCAAGTTATTTAGTGTCCACTCGACCAAGCTTTGGTGGTTTTTGTTGTTTAATATAATGGATGGTTAAAAGGCTCACTTATAGTGCGCACTGGTATCTCTTCTCATCGTGTATATAAAATGGTTTGTGGTTTGTGTGTTACAAACATGTTTATAGATGTTTGTAGTTAGAGTATGCTAGTAGTGACTCCTGACTTTGAGTTAAGTGGGATTTTGGTAACCAGTTCACAGAAACAATATAACAATTTCCCCATTGTTGAAATTCCACGCTATGGTCCTTCCCATTCCTTTGACAGGAGAAAGGGACATGAGAACCGATTTATTCATTCCTGGGCATAAAATCAAGCTTGCACTTGAGAAACAGAAATGCCTAACTTCAAATCAAGTGTATTTTGATTACAATGAAAAAATATTGGCTTGACAGCCTCATTTTAGTACAATGTAAAGGAAGAAAAAGCAGATGGTCAGTTTTCAAAATTAGCAAATTGTACTCGCATCTGTGGCATCAGCTGCTGAAGCAAGTACTAATTCTGGTTGAGCAACAATGCCTTCCTGTTTTGCGTTTCTTCGTTCTCTTCGCATCCTGAAGTACTCTCTCTTCCTTGCTCTGTAGCTGTTGGGGTTCTCAGGCTGTGCCTCTCTTGGGTAAACACTTATCTGTCACTCATACCAAAATATAATCTGTCAGTTTATGGTATCTACACTTCGAACTTTTAAAGCATTAACTCGTCTTTAGGAAATTTAAAAGCGACCTTCTTCTTGTCAGGTCCAAACTTCTCAAATTTCACGAGACCATCAATCAAGGAAAAGATGGTATAGTCCTTCCCAAGCACCACATTTTTCCCCGGATGGAACTTGCAAAGAAGAAAAAAAAAGGGACAAAGAAAACATTGAGTGCCGGAGACAAAGGTATAATGAATCGTTATTTACACATCATAGAACCAATCAAAGCAGCACAAAAACTACTAAACTGGTTATACAGGATAAAGAAACGAATGCAATGAACAATAGTCAGGCAAGTTGGACAAGAATCTGATTTTCCTCCCCTTTTTCCTTCCAAGAACCAGAATTCTTCTAAGAAAGAACTTCATCCGCAATGAAACAATTAGTGAAGATTTCAAGACCAAACCTAAACTTTTTGGCATTTTCACTCCTTCACAATAAAACCTTTTTTGTCAAGCAATTTAATCCAATCCAATGATGTTATTATCCTTCAATACCAAGTCTTCATAGCTATGTTTTCTTTTCTACTTGGAAATAGAAGCGCTTCATTGTTGAGTACCAGACATTTGATTCTGGTTTCTCAGCAGCTGTTGTTTGCTATGGAATGTGAGAATTTCATGGTCACATGTAATTTACCTATCCACAGGACTTCAAAATTTGGGGACAACATCTGCTCTTTGCAGTACATTAACTTGCACACAAATATCTGCTATAAACCAACAATACCTGAAGATTACCTTGGCTCTCCATTCTCCAGTAGAAATTTTGTTCAATTTAACATTCATATGCCATGTAATACTGGTATAGAATTCAGGAGAAATTGAATTTTGTAAACATTTGAACCAGCATAAATTGCTTTTTAAATGCAAAAAATAAAAATTCATCCCAAAATCATCAAAATACAGCATTCGTCTAATTCAATCTAATTTCCTTTTCAACATATGATACCACCAAAAACAGCGATTAATTCAAGAAATTGAAGCTTACCTTGGTTCCTCGCTGCCTTACAATGATAGCACCAGGTTTGGCCAACTGGTCACCGAAGATCTTGACGCCGAGGCGTTGGCCTCTAGAATCGCGACCGTTTTTGGTACTTCCGCTTCCCTTCTTATGCGCCGATTCAATGGTCAATGGGAACGGCGACTTATGCGGAAACGAAACGCTAATCGTTCTGGAACGCACGATGATGGGTCTGCCATCACCTTTGAAGAAGGATGAAGATGAGCTTGACGACACAGAAAGGCCCCCGAAAGCACCCACCAGATTGAAGCTCAAAGTAGTACCCACCATTCTGAACCTAAAATCATAAATAATAATTGAAAGTTAGTTCATGCAATTTTTTTCTTTAATTTTAAATAAATTTGGAGAATTTTTGTACAAGGGTTTTAACCTGCTATCGCAGAGTCTTTTTTGGCGAAGCTATAGGAATGGGAGTGAGTGTGCCAAGGAAGAAGAAGAGCGGTGAGCATGAGAGAGGCCTTATCTTTTGCGCGATAGAAATGCGTGGCGGCCAAATGAGATGCCACGTCATCACATAAGTACCACTTCTTTAGTAACGTTTTGCGTTTTTTTTTGGTTGATTTTTTTTTTTTTTAATATTGAGTTATACTACTAACACCACATTCCATAATTTTCTTGATGAAGTCATGTGTATCTAACGAAGATGCGGTGGTTGTAATTTTTTTCATATAATTGGAAAATTAAAAGATGATCAATAACCATGATTTACTATGATGTAATCTACAATAAAGAGAAATTTTAATACAATAAATTTCTGTCATGTGATATAAACAAAAGGGAGAAGTGAGATTCCACAAAATTAGGGAATTTGTTATGATGTAGAATTGTTCAACTTAGTTGAGAAAAATCACCAATGGTTACCATAAACCTTATTCTAGAGGTTTATAACAATCAAAATTTTGTTTTTAATAACTAAATGACACATGGCGGAAATCCATTTTGCAAGAAAAGATTCAAAATTGTTGAGATTCCTTTGATTTGGTCAACAACGATAATAGAAGAGTTGGATAAAATCAAGATCAAATCTGATTTCTAACAATCAGTTTTAGTTATAGGGGTCTAAAAATACAACACTTCAACACATTTTTCAGGAGGCATTCCCCTCTCAACAATATCAACACTTTAATATGGTTTAGCTCAACACTCGTTTAGTTCATAAATAACTCTTACAACAACTTTGCAACCTTCTTTTAAGAAAAAAAAAGGTCAAACTCCCCAAAAAGATTCTTGTGTTTGTTGTTTTTGGTTAAATTAGCTTTAGCAGTTAAATTTAATACAATTGGTCTTCTTCTACCAACACACTTTGCATTTTTGTCAATTTCTATCTAATTGTCTAGCTTTAGTTTCTACTTTATTAGCAAATTTAAGTTTCAACCTCTAGTTGTAAATTTTCTTAAGAATTCAAGTAAAGACCTAAGTTTATTTCATTTATGTCAGTAACTAATTCTTTACATTTTTGTTAGTTTTGATTTACATTTTTGCTAATACTCTTAGATTTTAATTTTAGCAGTGTTTTAAGATTTTTATCATGATCTTTAGTTTTATGTTCTTTTGTTACTTTAGTCTTAGATCATCCTTTACTTCTACCATGGACCCATTGCCACCTTTTCGTATTTCTATTTATTTTGCTTAACAAACTAACTTCATTGTGGTCATAAATGTGCAAAGTCCTTGATTTTCTTTCAAGGCAATTATTTATAAACTTTTATGTAGAAATACACCCCAATTTTTGCTACAATTGTTTGGTGAAGGTATTATTAGCACAATCTTTCAATCAAATAGTGTTATTTCATCAACTCTTAAACAAGTTCCTATACTTGAAAGAAGTAAGGGTAGTTAGAAATCTTTCTTTCTTGCTTTGAGCAAAATAAGTAGCATGCTTAAGTAACTTCTGTCACAAGTGACTGAGAAGAGGAGATTTTGGAGGAAACATATACAATAGGAGCGTAACTCCCTCTTATCCCTCAACTTACCCTATTTACATATTATATAACTTAGTTGTTAACTTATCACACTCACATACTATATAACTTAAATTAGTACTAAATTACTTAAATCATTTGCTTTAGTAACGTTTTGTTAAGTTGCAAAAATTAGGTAAAAAGGTTGGGTTTTGGTAAATGCCATCATGCAAATTGTTCACGCATCAAAATTTTAATTTTTTTCTTAAATAGTAATTAAAAATATTGATTTATTAATTAATTTTAACTTATTAATTAATAAATATAATTATTTTATTAATTACTATTTAATAATTATAATTATTAATAATTTTTATCAAAATCAAATAAAATAAATATTTTCAAAAATAATATTTTATAATTTTAGTAATTTGTATAATTTTAATAACAATAACAATACACCAAATCTCATAAGTCATTTGGTAAATACATTCAATACCTTAATAATGATTAAAAATCCCTCATCCTTTACCCCTCAAATTGTACCTGTCTAAAATAAATAAATAAAATAACCATAACAATAATACCGGTTGCGATAACACTAATGTTGATTGCCATAACCGTGCCCAAAGAATTGGGCAGTGAAGTTGGACATGTTTTGCGTGAGAGAAATTGCTGTTTAGATATGATGGCAGCTTTTGTCCCCTTTATCAAAATACACATACCCAAATGAGAACAGAGAAAATTTTACGACTGAAGCTGAGTTTCTTATATGAGTTAAAAAAATTTTAGAACTTGGGTGACGTGGGGTAAGAGGACTTTCCCCTCTTTCATTCAACATAAAACTAGTAGTACTCATGTCATTTCTTTAACCCATAACTTAATCATCCAACCAACTTAGCAGTTACTCATATCCCCTCTTTTTTTGATCTCCAGCAGTTACTCATCTCCTTAGTAATACTAGTAGATAACACAATAATACCCTCAAATAGTAGAAATGCCAAAAGAAAAATTAAAAAAGAAAAAAGGAAAAATCAATTCTGCATACACACCATTGATACATATAGGCAATACAAATACAGCATATGCCAAATCCAAGAGCGTAGCTTGACAACTGCAAGCCATGCCTAATCTACCTCAGTGTAAATAAAGGAGATACTCTCCTTCGAACAACCTCCTGAATTTGCTCAGATGACAAAACTGATGCCTCCATTTCAAAATTAGCTTCCTGCATCTGCTGATGCAGCTGCAAATGAAAAAAAAACTCAGCCAACTGACAGATCATAACCCAAGTATAATTTTGACTAATATGCAAAGAGCTTCAGATAAACAAACAGCAATTCTAGCAGAACTAACTATTTATGATATAAATGCAAAAAAGGGCCTCAGGATTAAAAAATCTATATAAACAAGACATTAACCAAAACTGAAAGCTCATCGAATATTGGCAAAGAACTCATACTGGTTTGAAATCACAAAATCAGGAAGTGCTTCGCCTGTCATATGCTCCAAACCTTCTACCCTATATCTGGTGGCAGACCAAAAATGAGTAAACAAGTGCTTACCTTTTCAAGAATTGCAGATTGATCATCCAGGTGAAATTTGCGCATACATTTTAGCATCTCCAACTGCTGCAAATAATTAACCTTCTGGATTTAAGCAATATGCAT